GCCACCTTGATACCGCATTCTAAGGTCTCCCAGCCGTCACTCATACTTGTTAATAGAAGCCCGAGATGCATCTTGCTGAAAAGCAACCAGGGCCACAGCAACAAGAGCCAACAGTTCCTTCATTTACTGAGTCTGCGTTAGAAGGTAACAGCAGCTAACAATTCACCGGGCAGGTCCTGTATGCTAAGCAGTGTGCTCAGCGTGTTGCATCAAATATCTATCCAGCTTCTTAAAACATTCCATTAGGCTAACATTATTATATTCCCCTTTCACAGAAGTGGAAGCTGAGGCTCTAGGAGCATAAGTCACTTGCCTAGTAGGTTTACACACTTGGTATAGGGTGAAAGTGAGACCAGCTCTAGGGGCCCAGGTACTGAGCACGATGCAGAAGTGACCATGTGTCTTCAGCCGCACAGCTGGTGAAGGCCCAGGGTCAATGAGGCCAAGGGTGTCGAATCAAACCCCAGAGGAACCTGGAACATGCCCAGAGCCTGGTCCAAAAAGCCTATTAAGCACTCCCAAGAGATCAGCATTGCCTCCCATGGGTGTTCAAGGTTAAGACTGATAAAACACAGAGCTCCCGAGGACAGGAAAGCCATGCCTGGGGTCCTATACCTTATGAGTCCATTGACCTCATCCACGATGTGCCGCAGCTTGTAATAAGCATCGGTGGGAGGCAGCTTCAGCTCCAGAATCAGCCGGTCAATCTTGTTGATGCACACGGTGACCGCCAGCCTCTCCTGCACCGCGTGCTTGATCAGCCGCTCTGTGTTCAGCATCACCTGAGACACACAAGGCCCAGAAGGTGGTAAGAAGAGCAAAATGGGCAGAAAAGTCCAGAGCAAAGCCAAAGAGGGTACTATCAGAAAATATGAAATATGAGGAAAAGGGGACCTGGGGAAATAGATTGTTGGGTGGAAGCAGAGGGTATGTTGGCCAGAGGCTGATTCAGGACCCTGAAGAGGGCATCTGGCAGGACAGACAACCACACGAATGATGCTAGGAGCTGGGTCTCTCAGGCCTGGAGAAGGGGTGGAGCCAGGTCCAGGGAGCACTTGGGGTGCTGGACGGAAGTGCGGGTATTATGATCGACACACTTTCTTTTTTTATTGTTAATCACGTTTCCTGTACATGTGCAAAAATTGTTATGGATGTGTGCGGGGATGCACTGCCTGTGTTCAGTGAAAGGGTCTAGAAGGAATGGACCCCAAAGCAGTGAACACATCCTGACCTTTATTTCTAAATACTAGTCCCCACTATAAGGAGCCAGAACTCCTTAAGAAACAGCTGATTCCTGGATTGGGGCAGAGAAAGCACAAAATGAGTCTAGAACATCTTTTTATGCCTAAGAGAAAGGAAGTACTTGAAAGAAGATGGGACATGTCAAAAAGACACAGAAGCCAACCCGAAGGAGCACTACCTAACTGAATCTGGGATAGGCAGAGTATCAAGATATGGATAAGGGTATCAAGTAAGGATAGCAGTGGAGTATAACCCACCGATGAAATAAAAATCCGTGTATCCATACTGACAATAAGTAAACAAATGAGGGAGAAGGGAAAGTTCTTCCTTAAAACAGAATTACAACCAAAAAATATAGAAGGAATAATAAAAGAAAATCACCTTGTGCAACTACTATGGAAATAAACTAGGAATGATCTATGGAAGATACAACTTCGGGCTGGCTCAGTCGGTGGAGGGTGTGACTCCTGGTCTTGGGGTCATGAGTTTGAGCCCCGTGTTAGGTGCAAAGAGTAAAGAAATGTGGGGCACCTGAGTGGCTCCGTTGGTCAAGCTTCCAATTCTTGGTTTTGTCTTAGGTCGTGATCTGATGAGTCATGGGACTGAGCCTAGCATCTGCCTCTGCACTCAGTGGGGAATTGGCTTGAGATTCACTCCCTCTGCCCCTCCCCAACCTGTATCCACTCTTTCTCTCTCAAATGAATAAATAAATCTTAAGAAAAAAAGTAACATGGACACCTGAGTGGCTCAGTTGGTTAAGTGGCTGCCTTCAGCTCAGGTTACGATCCCAGGGTCCTGGGATCAAGTCCACGTCAGGCTCCCTGCTCAGTGCGGAGCCTGCTTCTCCCTCTCACTCTGCCTGCTGCTCCCCCTGCTTGTGCTCACTTGCTTTCTCTCTTTCTCTCTGGCAAATAAATAAATAAAATCTTAAAAAAAAAAAAAAAAAAGAAAAGAAAAAGAAGAAGAAAAAAGTAACAGATGATAAAACTAGCACGCAGAGTTTGGAAAGGAGAATGTATATACAGACTCAAGAAAAATCCCCACAAATTATTTATTACTAAAGGGAAAATAGTAACATTACACTGGGGAAACCTGGCAAACCCACCTGAACTGAGCGACCAAAGTGAGTATCACCAGTAATGGGATAAAGAGACACCCAGGGCCTCCTGATGTGATGGACTAAGAAGGACACAACTATGTTCATGTAGTATTCCTGCCAAAAATAACCTGAACGTAATCATGAGCGAGCATTCAGCAAACCCAAACGGAGACATTCTATAAAACAAATATAGCTTACCCTCTTCAAAAATGCCATCACAAAGGACCAAGAAAGGTTACTGAACAGTTTCAATTAAGAGACTCAGGGAGATATGGGGACTGAATGCTAGCCGGCATCCTTAATCAGGAAAAAAAAAATTCCATGAAGGACATTACTGGGACAGTAAGATCCAGAGAAAAAGATCTATATAATATATTCTATCAGTGTTAAATTCCCTGATTTTGGTAATTGTATTTTGGTCACGTCAGTGAATGTCCTTGTGTGGGCACATGTACAGAGAAAGAATTACAAAGCAGATGAGAGTGCACTCCTTGTACCGTTTTTGCAACTTTTCAATAAATTTGAAATTATTCCAAAATGAAGTCAATTAGGAAGGGGGGAAAAAAAGCAACTCTGGCTCCCTCTGCTGGCTATCTCATCAGCAACAACATAAACAGGACTAGCCAAATTACCTATCTTTCAATTTAGAAATATACAAGACATCTTGGGCCTTTTAACTCCAGTCTCTCTAGTTTCGAAAAGTGCATTAATATTTAAAATCAATTTACACGAATATACTTGCCTCCTTCTCTTTTAATTACATTTGTCATTTTATTTTGGGTCCTACCATTTTGAGCCTCACTGAGCAGGGAGTAAGGGACTCACACTGAGAACTAATTTTGAACTTCATATGCTGCCTTAATTTCAGAGCAAACGTGAGCCTTAATCCCACAAACTTGTAATCTTCTCTGATTACACTCTGGGCATTGGGTGGGGCAACCCCAACAGGGAGGAGGGGTCATAAGAGTAGAGGCAGACTCACGCCTTCAGCGGCATCAATGAACAGGACAACTCCATCTGAGATGCGCAAGCCAGCCGTGACCTCATCAGAAAAATTCACATGTCCTGTAAGACAAATACCAAGTAAGTCACTACCCGCAGGGTACCAGGATGAGGCACAATTAACGTGTAGGAGGTCTGAGGGAACACTGCAAAGCATGTGAACCCCCAAATATGCCCTTTCCCTTCTCCCCAAGGCTCCCTGCCATGTATAAAGTTCCACCAGTTAGAGTCACATGCTTGGATCAAACTTTCATACAGCAGGTCCCCAAACATCAAAAGAACAAAGTGCTCTGTATGCCCTGGGAGGACATAACAGATCGACATTCCTACACCAGCTTGGTCTCAACAGCAGTCAGCAGAGTTCTGTGGGGGCACAGGACAATTCAGAGGCAGGAGAAAGAGCAAGAAGGGCCTGGTGCACAGGAGACAATTCCTGGCAAGGTGCTGCTGGTGGCAGACAGAGGCTGAGAGGTATCAGGGCACTGGGCGCCTGAGGATGAGAAGGTCAGTTTGTCAAAACTCCAATGTTTTTATTTAAAACTCTGCCCCGAGTTGATTCTTTCCCTAAGATGAAGACAGAGGCAGCCACAGGGCAAGGTATGCTGCTCCTGCGGTGACCTGTATGGGCACTACCAGTTGGTGTGCTGACCCCATGGCCTCCTTCAAAAGACTGGGAGTGCCTGAGGCCAAGGCTATGTCTGACTCACCCTCGTTAGCAAGCGCCTAGCACGGGGCCTGACACGCTGAAACGAGTAAATGAATGAGGCTTAAATATTTTAGAGCAAAGAGAGGAGCGATATAGAAAGCCTGGTGCACAGTCTCTGCTAATTAGCTAGTCAGAAGCAAAGGAGACTGAGGAAAACGGAAATTATTTCAATGGAAGAAGTGAAGGGAACATAAATGCAAAGATAAAATGCTCTGTTCTGTGCTGGAAAGAGTGAAAGCACAAAAAACAAAGAGGGTAAGGTTCTGATAGTAAACGGAATGTTCTACCTGGAGTGTCCATGATATTGAAGAGGTAAGATTTTCCTTTGGTATCTGGCAAGACCACTGTCACGGGAGTGCTTTTGATGCCAACACCTCTCTGAAAGTCACAAAGGCAGAGACGTCAAGACTGTGTCCTAGACAAGAGGGATTCCTTCTGCTCTTGGGGCTTGCCAGCTGCGAGTAAGTTACACTGACCTCTCACCTTGAGTGGCCTCTAACCCCTTGAAGATGAAATATCTTGTTTTAAACATAATTTTTGCGGGGGTTTGGTTCAAATAAAAAAAAAAAGTAAAAATAAAAATGAACAAGCAAGTAAAGCAGGATTAAACCTAACAGAGAACCCAGTGTCCTACAATCTTAACTCCATATACAGTTAACAAAAATAACTGAACCATGAGGGCGCCTGGGTGGCTCAGTTGTTAAGTGTCTGCCTTCAGCTCGGGTTGTGATCCCAGGGTCCTGGAATCGAGCCCCGCATTGGGCTCCCTGATAAGCGGGGAGCCTGTCTCCCACTCCCTCTGGTTGTGTTCCTTCTCTCACTATGTCTCTCTCTGTCAAATAAATAAAGTCTTAAAAAACAACAACAACTGAAGTATCATGTAAGTAAAAAGACATCCTGGGCATTTAAGGATTTAAAAAAACACGTACCCTTTCTGCCCCTGCTACCACCATGGAGCCTGTGAAAAAGCTTGTGGTGGGGGGGGGGTCCCCACCGCCAGCAAAAAAAGCAAGTTCTGAAGTCTACCTTGACTGCACCCATCCTGCAGAAGATGGAATCATGAATGCCTCTAATTTCGAGCAGTTTCTTCAAAAGAGAATGAAAGTGAATGGCAAAGCTGGGAATCTTGGCGGAGACTTGGCTGTAACTATTGAAAGGTGCATGAGCAAGATTACTCTAACTTCTGATGTGTCTTTTTCCAAAAGGTATTTGAAATATCTCACTAAAAAATATGTGAAGAAGAATCTACGGGACTGCGTGCAGTTGCTAACTGCAAAGAGAGTCGCGAACTGTGTTCACTTCCAGATTAACCAGGATGAAGAGCAAGATTAAAACGTATTTATCGGAAATATCTTACATGAATTCTTGATTGAATCTTGGGAATCAAAAAAAAAAAAAAAACCAAAACAAAACAAAAAACCGACTCCCTGCAACACACATACATATATAAAAGCTCTAATAAGGGGGGCTCCTAGCCGGCTCAGTCAGTAAAGCAGGAGACTCTTTACCTTGAGGTTGGGAATTCAAGCCCCACATTGAGTGTAGAGATTACTTTAAAAAAAAGGGGGGGGGAATCTATTAAAAAAAAAAAAAAAAGATAAGGGCGCCTAGATGACTTAGTTGGTTAAATACCCAAGTCTTGATTCAGAGTTGTGAGCTCAAGCACAGAGTGGGGCTCTATGCTGGGGGTGGAGCCTACTTTAAAAAAAAAAAAAGTGTTGCTTTTTAAAAAAGATTTATTTACTTATTTATTTGACAGAGAGAGAGAGAGAGAGATCACAAGTTGGCAGAGAGGCAGGCAGAGAGAGAGGCGGAAGCAGGCTCCCCGATGAACAGAGAGCCTGATGCGGGGCTCAATCCCAGGACCCTGAGATCATGACCTGAGCCGAAGGCAGAGGCTTATTAACCCACTGAGCCCCCCAGGCGCTCCCCCCCAAAAAAAGTTTTAACAAGAAATAAGTGTTTAAAAAAATCTAGCCAAATATATTAAAAAACAATAATAGCTAACATATGTTGATTGCATGTCATAAGCCTGCACTGTTCAAAGCTCTTTTCGTAAACCACAGTTATGAACTTGAGCTCTCCATATGGTGATTTAAGAAAAAGAGACAGCAGTAAATAAAAGAGAGAGGAAAGAGAAGGGTTAGAGAGTAGGGGAAAGATCCAGATGGAAGAGGGACCCACCAGCTGGAGTGGGAAAGACGGCGATGTATGCTCACTGCTTTACACAGCAGAGAAGCACAAAGACAGAGGAACGCACTCTCAAAGAGAAGTTACTCCTAGCAAGAGATCATCATATGGATGGAATCATCGTACAGATTTTTAGAATGATGTTATTTGGGGCGCCTGGGTGGCTCAGTGGGTTAAGCCTCTGCCTTAGGCCAAGGTCATGATCTTAGGGTCCTGGGATTGAGCCCCGCATCGGTCTTTCTGCTCAGTGGGGAGCCTGCTTCCCCCTCTCTCTGCCTGCCTCTCTGCCTACTTGTGATCTCTCTCTGCCAAATAAACAAAATCTTAAAAAAAAAGAAAAAAAAAAAAAGAATGATGTCATTTAAAAAATTCTGTTGTGAGGCGCCTGGGTGGCTCAGTGGGTTAAAGCCTCTGCCTTCAGCTCAGGCCATGATCGCTTCTCGGCCTTTTGGCTAAGATCAAGTGCAGCTCAGGCCATGATCCCAGGGTTCTGGGATTGAGCCCCGCATCGGGCTTTCTGCTTGGCAGGGAGCTTGCTTCCTCCTCTCTCTCTGCCTGCCTCTCTGCCTACTTGTAATCTCTGTCAAAAAAAAAAAAAAAAAAAAAGAAAAAAATTCTGTTGAGTTTCTGTATAACTTACAGCATAAATGTAGACATCATCTCTTAGCACTGCCCTACTAAGCCAAATTAAATCCAGTCAAGGGTAGGAAGGTCCCTCCACCCACACCACCACTTGCCTGCCCAGCCCTCTTTTAAGTACTACATCAGGGGATAACTGGCAGAAGCTGCAAGATAAAGAGGTATAAGGTGGGAATGAGAGAGGGTACAGAGCAAACTGTTAGCAGAAAGGCTCCCCCACATTCCCTGCACAACTCCTGCTGGGTCCAGTGTGGGGAACAGTCGGACTTCCCCAGGCACACTTACCTCCTGCTCTGTGAAGAGGATGTCAGTATAGCACAGCTTAAAAAAAAAAAAAAAAAAAAAAAGTGCTGTTACCACCTGACTCCAGACTCCTCTCCCACACAAACCATCAATCACTTTCCTCCACCAACTCCCAGCTCAAGGCTTTCTGCCTCAGGAGGACAGATGGAAGACAGAAGGGTATTCTACAGAAATTCTAGACAATAAAACCAGTGCCTCTCAGGTGGAAAATGCTCCTGGATGGGTGGTTTTTTTTGGGGGGAGGGGGGGAGTGTCAGGGCGGTCACTGAGGACCAGGTATGGCTGGAGAGCTAAATTTTATCAAATGGACTGAATTCTAAAGTGGTAAAGGGAGACACTTGCGGCCTTTATGGAACCCCCTTGTGTCAGAACACTCCATCTAGCAGACACGGAGCATTTATTGCGCTGAGACCTGTAGCCACCTTCGGCCTCATTCACAGGCATTTAAATTTATCATGGAAACAACAAGGTCCAATTGGATTATATTTATAGAGTGGGCTATTAATACCAAGACAGGAAAGAATAGGCTATAAAAGTCAGGATATATCAGAACAGAGGAAAGATCCCAAGTGCAGAACAGATCATCCAAAAATACTGCAGGTTAATATTCTCTACGCTCCTAAGAAAGTTAAAATTACTTTCTTTAAGGCTATGAATAGAGATTACAATTATAAAGCAGCACTTTGGAAGCATCATTATTTATAATGAAAATGGGAAAGTGGAAGGAAGGGGAAGGAGAGAGACACCCCTGTATATTCTCAATGGTTCATCCTAAACCCTCCACAGATTTTCTACTTACATCTTGGTCATAGCGCTTCCTGATTTCCGGGTGAGTCTGCTCTATTAAGCAATCTACAAAACACGTCTGAAAGGGAGGAGAAGGTTAAGATCTGCCAAACACAAAGGAAAATCTACCCTTCTCTCAGTGCCCAACACACCACATAATTTAGGGATAAGGAGAGGAAGAAGTGAGCAAGGAGGATTATGGGACAGCAAGGGATTAACAGTGAAGCCACAGGATTATTTTCAAATGAAAGATGAAACCTTCCTTGGACAAGCATTCCCCCAGGAAATGAAAACTTATAAAATCAGAGTACGGCTCAATTTCCCCTCTTCTGTCCAGATGTAGACACAAGGCTGGAAGTGGCTTAGAAACAGGCTCCATCTGCTGCTCAGGAAAAGCTAGAATTTCACAGCAGTTTTCACACTAGGCATGGAGCCCCCCCCCCGCCCCCCACGGAGTCAGGAGGTCCAGCATTGTGGCCTCAAACCCCAACCTGTAACTCTGAGGGCTGAAAAAATGAGCAGGAACAAAGAGAAATCCTGTTCCAAGTAGCTCAAAGTTCTCTCACCTTGCCGTGGTGGAGATGGCCACAGAGGGTGACATTTCTGATGAGTTCTGAGTTATCCATCAGATCTGCCAAGAAACTGAAAGGAGACAGGAAATGAGAAAAGGGACTTTGGCAAAAGCTTCCAAATGCAAAGTGGTGCAAAGGTGTTTCATGTATCTTGTCAGGAACAATTTGCAGACCAACTGGAGAATGCTCAGAGGCAGACGTGAATTTCTATATCTACACAGGTCTGGCTTTGGAAACGGAACAGACTTATGTAACACAACCCACGAAATGAGATTTCAAAAGCAAGCAAAAAGAAAAGCAAAAAAAAAAAAAAAAAGACCAGCAGGCACGCACACACGCACATACACAAGCCTGGTTCCTTTCAAAATCCTCAGGTTAGACTTGTTCCATTTATGCCTCTACTCTATAAATGCAAAGGGGACTTAAAATTACTGTGAGTTTCTCTCTCTTTTTTAAAAGATGTAAATAATTTTAGAGATAGAGTGTGGGGAGGGGTGGTGAGGAGCAGAGAGAGAGGGACAAGCAGACTCCTTGCTGAACGCAGAGTCTGATGTGGGGCCTGATCCTGTGACTCTAAGATCACAACCTGAGCCGAAACCAAGAGTGGGATGCTAAGCTCCCCGGGGCCCCTCAGCTTCTTTCAAAATTGCCCTCAGAGCCAGTTAATGAAACTTTTCAGAAAACTCCACCTCATTAATGATGCCGAGGAGTTCTAGCTTGATCAAAACCAGCACTGTCTTTCTTGCTTACTACCCACATTAACTCATGGCAAGTTGCCTTCAAAGGACTTTGGCTCTTTGAAACATCAAGCCCACTTTCAAAGATTTGAGATTTTACAAAATAACCACTGAGAACATAAGGGAATCTGAAGCAAGTTCTAAAGACAACTGAAAAGTCGTTTGGAAAATGGCTGAATGTTGGTAGGTGAGCTAAGCATTCGGAAGGGACCCCACTCTTCTGGACAAATTAGATGTCAGTATGTTTAAAAAAAAAAAAAAAAAGAAAGAAATTTCATTATCTAATAATGAGTCCCAAGCACTTTAATATATGAGGACTTACAAGTGCATTTCATCAATGAAAATATTTTCAGAAAGCCTGCGGCATGAAGTCTAAAGCCCTCTCCGCATGAATCCACCTACCTGCGCCCTTGTCTCCAAAATAAGGAGTTGTTATATTCCCCAAACTAAGCTAAGCGATCCTACCATGTCAAAATAGGTCCTGGTGGCCCCAGCACTGACAATTACAATCCTCAGTTCTGCCTCAAAGGCCAGCCTCTTTTACCCAATTAAAGAGTTGGAAGAGAAAAGGCTGAGATCTGAATGAGAGCCAAGAGAAAAAGTTAAGATGGGCTTAACTTTTCCAGCAACCATGCATGCTCAAGGAAAATTCTGGCAAATTGTAGGAGAGGATCTTGGCTTTTTTCAGTTCACTACCTACTTCAACCACACACCACATCCCACCTCCACAGAAAAATGAACCCACACTATTTGTGCAGAGAGGCAGAGAGACCTGAAAACTTACTCCATTTCATACACCGTGACAGGTAATGTCTGCTCCATCAGAGTGAATTTCTTGGTTTTCACCGGCTTAATAATAGGTTCTAAGGGGAAAAGAGTAGTGATGTGCAGGTTGGCATAAAACAAAAATACACAGCTCCATTCCACTAAACTGAGCTTTCATTTTTTTTTTTTTAATTTATTTACTTATTTGACAGAGAGAGAGAGAGAATACGCAGGGGAAACTGAGGAAGAAGGAAAAAGAGAATCTCAAGCAGATTCCCCGTCGAGCATGGAACCTGACGCAGGGCTTGATCTCACAACCCTGAGGCCATGATCTGAGCCA